TTACTTTGCCCGTAGCTTTCCGGAGGTATCCCCTTCCGAGCACTTATGCACGCGGTTTACGGACTACTTGACTTTCGCCTACGGACTTCTTAAACTCAGTCTTTTCAAACGGCGTGTATCGGGTAACTTCAAGCTCGACAGCGCGTTGTATAACGCTGAGCGCATGCTCGTGTTGCCTGCGCAGGGTCCAAGTCTCCGACGCGTAGGTTGGGGGGGGGGTGTATTTCACTAGGACAGAAAGCGACTTTTTCGCGTTTCGCAGCGCGAAACATTTTTCGCTGCAGGAACTTCAGGTCCACTCATGATCAGCGGTGGACCTGAGGTTCCCGCAGTGAAAAGTGTTTCGCGTGCGAAAAGCGAAAAAATCGCTTTCTGTCCTATGCTATGCTTCTCCTAAGTGATCCAAAGTTTCCTTTAAATTTATTTGTTTTGAACGATATAGTTTCTTCATTTTCAGTGCATGTTTACTTTAACCTACATACATACATTAAATGTAGGCCTTTATCAGGGCAATCCCAGTTGGGAAGACAGAGAAAATTTAAAGGACTTTTCGTCCCCCAACCCCTTCGGGGAGGATAGCATACGGCCCCTAGTGAACCACACCCGGTTGGGGCAAGACTGCAGAATTGAAGAGGTGGACACGGAGCCGGATGTTCGTCGTCCTTTTCACTACTTCCCCGATGTTCTTGTACACTTCTCACAGCGTGGCAGAATTTGCCTTCTTTCGTACAGGGCGACTCAAGAAGTAATGGCTCCAGGATGCGAGCATCACGCAAAGCTCCCCAAATCACGGAATAAAAAGCGAGTCTCATCCAGGCATAAGGTACAACAGTTGTTACCGCCATAGGAATTCTGAGTTCCCAATGGGTGAAAATTTTCGGGGTGCGTGAACTATTTCGATGCCACGTTTGCACACATTCAAGGGCTCCCTTCACTGTACGAACTGTAGGAAAAAAATTGGTTTGCTTATCTGAGACCCTAAAAAGCCATTAGTTATGGTTCGTTGTAGTTCAATGAGATGCATTATAATCTTACGACACAAGCACTATTAACAGTAGCTCTTGAGTTTCTGAGTGTTCAGCCCAAGTCAAACATCATAACAATGGTACACACACTACCATCGAAGTGACCTTTTAAAACTAAGCCCAGAGCAATGAAATTCAGGAATTTGGCAATGCATTTCAAAAAAGACGTAGAATGAAAGCGCTGTACGCAGGACGCTTAATGTTTTATAGTTGACGGCTTTCCTGATGTCTCGTTGTTTTCGTAAATAAATGCGGTAACCTTCTTTGTCTTCATCTCATTCCATTTCCGCAAATGACACAGGCAATAACCAACCAATCCTCTGCCGTTACAGTCCTGCATAGTGCTGTCATCAATTCCTCCATGTTTTGGGTTCTTGTGGATTTAGTGAGGGAAGGGTGTGTGTTGATTAGGAGAATTTGAGTATTGCTGGCTTCCATATTCTTCTCTTCTTTATGTACCGATTCATTTCTTGTAGTTCTCCATGGTCGTAAATAATAGAAATATCTCACTTCAGCGATGCATAGCAGTGGCAGCGGTCATTGCTATAATGTTCGCATTTGACCTATCACGGAACAAGCGAAACGATCCGAACTCGTTCAATTTGTTGACATTGTCTTTTTTGTGGAATCGGATTCCGCAATTTTTCCAATCAATATGCATCTTATCTGTTGGTGCGGGATGGCGCGAACTATGAATATTGTCCAAGAACGTCACTGTCTCCGGACATTCATTTGCGTCAATCA